CTACATTCAGATACCAAAACAGTTTTTTCAATGATTAAAGTACCAGGTGATTTGCTTCAGCTGACACACTTCAGCTAGAGCCTTTAAACTGAGCGATATAGTCGGTTATGAAAATAACGCATTCTACAAACTTATATTACGAATATTAATAAATGTGTATTAATGCTGAGCAATTTGTTCGCAGAAAAATTTTTTAAAAAAGGAGTATAGCAAATTCAAATTCTACGATTGGTTCTAAGGAAAAATGGCGAACAAACTATATACCAAAAAGTAAGAAAGTCTGAGTTCGGGCGGAGCCGAACATTAAATACCCGGCGCAAGTATTTAATATATGATTTTCACCTTTCCGAGAGCTACCGCTACATGGTAAGCTGGAGCGTATCAATTTTGAGTAAATTAGAGTCCCTAAATTGCGAAATTTTAAAGTTTCAAGCAGTTCTGAAATTTACCGTTATATGAAAAGCGCCCTCAATTTTAGTCCGATTTCAATAATTTTCAACGTTTTGCTTTTATGTGGCAAGCACAATAAAAATACCGAGTTTGGTACAAATTGGTAGAACGGTTACCGATATACATATATGTGATCATAAGTGGGCGGTGCCACGCCCATTTTCCAAAATTTTACCATAAACGTATTTCTTGGTAAAGAATTGGTGCAAGCATTAATTTTGAATAAATTAGCTTTAATATTTATTGATTTATCGAAGATTTTGTATTTCTCTAAATTACCGTTATATGGGATGTGGGCGTGGTTATTGTGCGATTTTTAAATGTTTCGGTCATTTGGTATGTTGTGCGAAGGCCAACAACTGTGTTAAGTTTGGAAGAAATTTGAGCAGCGGTTACCAAGATATACACATATAAGTGGGCGTGGCTACACCCATTTTCCAAAAATTTATAAAATTCTTATTTTTCGTCTAAAATTTATTGTAAATATAAATTTTGAGTGAATAATCTTCCGTAGTTACTAAAATATCGCAGTTTTCGTATTTCTGAAAATTACCGTTACATGGGAAGTGGGCGTGGTTACAGTCCGATTTCGCCCATTTTCAATACCAACCCACCCTGGATAAATGGAAACCTACGTACCAAATTTCGTTTAGATATCTCAATTTTTGCTCGAGTTATCGTGTACACGGACGGACGGACAGACGGACAGACAGACATGGCTTAATCGACTTCTCTATTCATTCTGAGCATTTATGTATACATTTGTCTATATCTATCTCGATTCGTTTTGGCTGTTACAAACAACCGTTATGTGAACAAAATTAATATACCCTTGTGCACAAGTGCGCTCGGGTATAAAAATGACGTTTGACCCTCCAAATTTTCAAAAGAAAAAGCAGTATATTGTAAATATTTTGGTCAAAATTTACGAAATAAACAAGCATAACGAACTTGTGAAGTAGTTTCTTAAATATAAAGAAAACACAAAATTGTGAAAAGGAAAAATTAATTTTGTTCAGAAAAAATTATAATACACAGATTTTTCTTTTAAAAATTGGGAGCGTTTTGGTATATAGTTAGTTCACCAGTTTTGCTTAGAAGCGAACGTAGAATCCGAATGTGCCATATACTTTTTTCGAAGTTAAATTTCTCCGCCCTAATGTACATGTCGTTCCTGTTATTAAAATTTTGTGAAATAAAGTTTGAATTTTTTTTTTATGAGACTCCACTGTACATTCATGCAGTTGACATTATAAAATATGGGGTTTCCGTGTACGCCTGGTATTCTGCGTTTCAGTATAATATAGAACATCCAAAGGTCAATTAAGTCAACCCAATAATTCAAAATTGGTAGGGGAGACGATATGTAAAAAAGCATACGCATTTTTTTAATTTTTTCTTTGATGTTTACTTCGTGTTTACATACATAGATACATACCTACTTAAGTTTTTCTTTAGCTTCTGTTTATCTTTATGCTAGTTCTTGCTAAATCCTAGATTTATTGCTCTGCCTACACTGAAGCTTTGCTGCTGAGAACTTCTCGCATATACATATATGGGGTGTTCCATACCAAAACGGACGGCTTTACACTTCATGTGTTTGATTTGTTTAAAATTTTTAGGGTTGATGCATAAACATAAATAATAAACAAATATGAAATTTGAGCTTGATTAATACATATTTAAAAACTTTACAACACAAAAACAAAAACAAATCGATTTAATAGTTTTCCAAATATCTCGAGAAAAAATGTAAAAAATCACACATACTCACATCAAAATTCTCTATGAAAAGAAATATTTTTAAAATTAATTTTTCTTGAAAAATTTTTCACATACAAATTTTTTGATAAAACAAAATTGTTCAAAATACACCATCTCAAAAATAAAAAAAAATCACAATGGTAGCTCTGAGTATTGCGCAATTTTTAAATATAGTATTATGGGGTCCACTCTACAATAATTTGAGTTACGATTTTTTTTTTCACACCGAAGTTGAGTAAAATGATTACATTACAAAATTAAAATTTTTTTGAGTATGCAGTTTTGTAGCTCATTAAATTTTAGTATAATAAAGTGGAAGTTTTAACCGATTGCAACACCGACGTTAATTTTTTTTTGATTTTCTTTGGAAGCGGTTTTCTCATTTTATTCCATAAGAAAAAAGTGCAAAATGCCGCCAGCATAAAATATATTAAAAATCAACCTTAAAAAATTTTAAATTCGTAATGTACTCATTTTACTCAACTTCGGTGTAAAAAATAATTCATAACTAAATTATACTATACTTAAATATTGCGCAATGCTCAGAGCTACCATTGATTTTTTTAAAATTTTTTTTTGAGATGGCACATTTTCAAAAACTAATTTTTTTTATCAAAAAATTTGTATGTGAAAAATTAGAAAAAAAAAATTGTTTTATATTTCTTTTCATAGAGAATTTTGATTTGTGTGTGTGTGATTTTTTCAATTTTTTTCCTTGCCCCATTTAGTTTATAAAAATGTATTAATCAAGCTCGAATTTCATATTTATTTATTATTTATGTTTATGCATCAACCCTAAAACTTTGAAACAAATCAAACACATGAAGTGTGAACCTCGTCCGTTTTGGTATGGAACGCCACATATACAAGTCGATGCTTGTATACGGGCAGATATGTATACATGTGTGCTCTGCCATAAACAATTTTGTTTACAAATCCACGTGCCCAATACATGAATATATGCATATGTAGATATTATATGTTCTTGAATGAGTTTACTTACAAAAATGTTTATACAATATTTCTTTTTTCTGATTTTCATTGAGAGTGTTTCTCAATTTAATGCTTTAGCTGATAACGTCATAGTTTCATTTGCGTTGGTTACGTTTGCCCATCTTTGGTGCACCTGTTGCTATTGCTGTGTGCATGCACTGAGAAAAAAAATTTGAAACCATATCCTCGTTCTTTCAAGCCCTTTCAAAGGCCCTTTGTTTACTATACACAGATTTATTTTTGGATTTCTGCCTTGAAATATACAATAATTCTAATAATTCTAATTAATATACAGCATTAATAATAACAAACACCCTATCAAGCTGAAATAGCGGCGAATTAGCTGCTCTTGTTTGCAATAGGTTGAAGAAGGAAATAGATAAGCAACCAGAGTTTACAGGCTGAATTCGCGCATAGATGAGTACAAGTAGTGATCTCCGTAACAGCAGCTATAACTTCTACCGCTTGGACTTTGTTACTTTTTCCTTTTTTCCTATAAAGCTCAATAACAGTGCTCAAATAAATGACAATGACAAAGAATTTTCTTTGCAAATATTTTAAATCATTAATATGGAAAAAATCATGGTACTTTTTTCTAAGTGTATTCATTTTTGTATGTATATATACATATGTACAAGTAGATATACATATACATAAAAGAATTTTAGTACGCAAAAATTTGTGCTCAGTCATGTGAAATGAGTTTGCGCCTAATTTTCTTTGAATGTTATGTTTTTTCATTGCCTCTATGCAATATGCTTTTAAATTTATGTATGCTGCCTGGTTGGCTAGCCGATGTAGAGGCACGTTATGACTTTTAGACTGCGGCATATGTACGTCATCAACGTTGCTAAGTAAACAAGAAGGATATATATTGCTATCTTCACATACATATCTATACAGGAAATTTATGTATACTTTTTGCAATTGCCTATAAACTTATGCTTGTGTGTATGTATTTATATGTGTGTGCATTACTGTACCTACAAAGCAACATGTTTATTTTGTTGTCGTTAAGAAAAATTTTTTCAAGTGCCCGGGGACATACATATGTATGTATATGTATATGCATAAGGCAACGTATTCCTTTATTGGGTAGTCGTGATATGATAAATATTTATTTGCTGAATATTAAATATTTTATAATCTGCTAATATTGCCATATTTTATGGAACGAAGTGCTTCATTGGAAACATAAATTTTGCTCCAGATTTAGATTTATGTTTATATAAGAGATATTTTATGTTTATGGGGCGCACGTTTTAGCTTAACAGATACAAACATATAAATATGCCTGTCTAGAAGAATTCGGCATATTCTACGCTGTCAGCTTGAATGTAGAGCAAGAACAGGTGTATTAAAATATTTTATTTTCATTGGTTCTCATTTAGTTAAATTTAAAAAAAATTGTTATAGTAGGAGCTCCGACAAGGGCACGCCTTTCACCCATCTGTTTAAAGGATGACATCTTCTTTGTATGAAATTTAACGTGCTTGGAAATATTTCGCGAGCGGGTTGGCTCAAAAAACGTATTAGAATCAGGGAGAAAGAGGATACTTTCTTTTCATCATAAGAACTTAATTTTGAAAGTAAAAACTTAAGTTTAATTTAATTTAATTTAATTTAATTTAATTTAATTTAATTTAATTTAATTTAATTTAATTTAATTTAATTTAATTTAATTTAATTTAATTTAATTTAATTTAATTTAATTTAATTT